CTGACTTGGGACAGGGATGAGAAGACGGTGCAGGCCTTTCAAGAGGTTATAGCACAGAAGGGAAGGAGCAAAGGAGGAAAACAGGGAGGTGTCAATCAAGTACCTGGCCCTTAGAGATAAATACCCACTTCCCACTTCTTCCAGTGGAACTGGCTGGTCAATACCTGTTGAATTAAAGAGGGAGATCTAGAAACAGCATTGGTTCCAGATTTGAAAGAAAGCATGTCTAAATCTTTGTCTGAGCATGTTTTCATCTGAGACCCAGGTCCCAAACTAAGCAACTGTCATCTTTTCATGAACCAAGACCAGCACCGATAAACTGAGTTTAGAAACCTAAATTTAAGGGCATTGCCAGCACTTTGACTAAAGCAAAAGCTGGGAAAAATCTTAAGTGTGACCATGGAAATGAGCAACTTCTCTTTCTTTACTTTTTTTTTGCAAAAGTAGGCTCCTTTTCTAGAGGTTTGCTTTAGGAGGAGAGCAAGTCAGTTTGTTGGAGTGTGTGTGAAATACTTGTTCATGAAGAATGTCTGTGCTGACTCTGCTGAGAAGAAATCGAATTAGTGCCAACTATGGTTCCTGTGGAAGTCTGCTAGGAATTCAGCTGAAAAGAAGCAAAGCAGCTGGCTGTTGCAGAGCACTGAGGACAAAGTCCTGCACTGAACTGGACCTGTAATCTTGAAAGGTAAATTCTGACCTCGTGGCCCCCTTGCTCAAGCCATCCTGCCACTGCACAGTTCATATTTAAGATATCTCCATCACTATTTTATAAACCGTTGGAGGTTTACATGTGTCAATTCATGCTCTACTGGAAAGACCAGGAGGCCGAGAAGTTGACTGAGTCCAGTCCACATATTCACGTATCATTGCAAGCAGCAACAACATGGGCAAGAAGAATACTGAGTGAGGATAAGAGAGAAGACGCCTACATTCAGATAAGGAGGTGGAAATGCTGTGCAATGCATAGCCAAGATGCAGGAAGGGGAGAGCGTGACTGGATGAAATGGGGGAAGAGAGCAGTTTACAATGCAGGCCAAGGCTCAGCACTGCTCTCTAAGGGATCAGCACGCACCAACAGAGAAGCCCAGAGGACCATGTTCGATTTGGCAAGTCTTCCAGCTGTTCCCTGTCTCCCTCAGTCTCTACTTACAGCTCAGATAGATTTGGCACTGGCTGGATACGAGAGTGCTACAGGAATGGCAGCTCTTTCATGTAATTTGCCCATGAGCTTCCTCTTCACTGTGCCAAGGAGAAGGCAGACAAAGCTCTGGCTGCTCGCTTTACAGAACTAGTCTGACAGCCAGGCAAAAGGAAGCTGCAGAGAGCCCATCCTGCTTGCAAAAGCTCCAGCAGGAGGAGTTTTAGATGACTCAAAGAGAGCATTCAAACAAAAACCTCCCACAGCCTGAAATTCAGCTCATGCTAATTGAGCACTAACTGCAGGCCTTCAAGAAAAAAGAATCCTTTCCTCCAGTCAGTACTGCTCTGAATGTAGCAGAGACCAGAGCAGTATTTACAAATATGTATGTGAGATGTGTGGTTTCATGGTCTTTTAACTACTGCTTGAAAGACAGTAGGCAAAGTTAGCTTTTGGTTGCAGACAGCATTTAGAAGCGGGAGATTGTAGCTGCCTTTGGGCTAAATTTTGATACCCTAACATTGAATAATATGCTGCTTTGGTTCTTCTTTGTAGTAACTTTCAAATCCGTTTACAAAGGAACTCAAATCTTTGTGTTACAAAGAGACTTAGCCACGCGTGGTGACGTGAAGTGGAACTAGGAGCTGAATCAGGTCTCTTGTACCTGAATTCCTTTCCCTGGTTACTAGACACCACTGCTCCCATTTGCTGCTGTCCTACCCTAATAAACACAGGTTTTTTAAAGCGTATCAAGAGCCAAGGGTGTGATGCAGTAAAAGAGCCAAGCCCACCTCACTGCCACTGACCTGCCCCGGCTTTCTTGCTGTGTCTCAGCTGGCAGCTCTGGGGCTCATTGGAGTTTAACTTGACAAACAAAGCAGAACATTTTTCTTCTGAGTTAGTGAGCTGAGTATGTTCAGTGAAGTGTTCAGTGAGCGCTACAGCCAGCTCAAGAGACTGGGCCACTTATGGCTGGGAACAGTAACAGCTGGGACAGGAACAGCCACACTTTTCAAGATAGCAAATTCATAGATGAGCTTAACGGCATTGTCAAACCACACAGAGTCTTGCAATCTTCCCTTTTGTACTTCAGATACCAGATTCAATGATGTGAGCCACTGTAAAGAGTTCCACTCAGAAGTGGGACACTGCTGAAGACTAGTTAACAAAGGCTGACCTGCATTGTTTGGGTTAGTGGAAAGGGACTAGAAATCAAGTCCTCTTGGAAGGTAGGAATTCCAGGGTCATCAGTCCAGGTGGAAAAATTGGAAAAGAAGAGATTTTAATATAGTTAGGTCGTTCCCAAGAAGCTGCTTTTCTGATACTCACTACAAGCCAATCATCCCAGTTACTCCTGTTATTGCTGCATAGGAATTGTCTGTGGCAAGGAGGCTTCACAGGTACCAGTTGATTAATTTAATTACAGATACACATATTTTCCACCTCAAATGCTGTCTGAGCATGCAGTACAGTTTTGCCTGTTTTGAAGCAGTCCATTTGACCTAGATAACTGCAATTCCTTCTGAAGACAAAAACTTTCCTCACATTCTTTTTAAAGTTCTTTCATGTTGCAGGCTCCATGCAACACCCAGAGGTACAAAAGATTTTAACAAAATTATATTACACAAGGACTGTAAGACCTATCATACTTGACACTGAGAAACAAAACTGGAAACAACTGACCCTGAGACATTCTAGGACTTAGCAGAAAAAGAAGTGTTTTTTTACCCAGGCTTTTGAAAATTATATTTTAAAAACAACCAGCTCAGAACTTACCTCTGTGTGATGCTCGACTTAAAAAGATGCCTAGAAGAGCTCCTGTACAATAATTTTATGCACTGGAAGGTTTACACAGAATTTGAATGGAAAGAGTTATTACTGGCATTCAGAGAAAATCACTGTTTCATTACTTTCCGTTTTCCCTCCAATCAGTACTTCTCAGCCACTGCCAGTCCACTGTGCTGCTTTAGGAGTATCTTTCAACTAAGTTCCCAGTGGAGCATCTGATATTTTTCCAAGAAAAGCTTTTGAGACTCTGAACGAACAGTCCTTTCAGTACAATCCCTGTGCCCAACAACTTTCTACATAAAAGCGCTCATTATGAATTTTGAGTCAGTGGGGTTTTCTCAGTCAGTGTTTGCTGCTGATCAGCCTTTCTTGACCTAGAATTACTATTTCCCGTATAGTTTGCATGAAGCCCTAAAGCACATTCAAATGCTGTGCAGGGTAACGGCTACAAAAGAAAAAAAAAACCAAAAGAAAATAATGTTAAAAAATTTGATTCAGAATTGGCAACTCTGTAACCTCTCCCTTAGCTGCCATCTCATTAACATATTTGTTCAAAAGCCTTTTCTCTGCTTCATTACATAATTTGTGTTACAAAATTCAGATAAACACTCATTATTCCCAGGTCTAAATAATGGCTTATTTGGCTTCCTTTTTCTTCTTCTCCTTTTATCCTTCCCAGAGAAAAATGGGGGACAGAAGGGGCTTGTTTAGATGGGAAATGAACCACACCGATTTCCGAGTAACATCTGGGACATCTGTTGTGTATGGCATTACAACGCATTATGCAAATACCAGTGAACAATTCTTCCCAATACCTCTGCAAAATAGAAGAATTAACATTGTTGTCCCTGTTCTGCGGACTGAGAAGGTCAGTTCATATTCTCTGCATCTCCCCTGTATCTCATTGTTCTACATCGGGCAGGGTCTACGACCCCGGCCCAACTCACAGCCCAGGTGCTGGGCGGGAAGGGCGATGGGGTCCAAGGGCTCCCCACAGACATTGCCACTCCAGGCGTGGAGGGGAGATGGTGGCCCAGCCTTCTGCCTCCCTCCTCGGGGAGCTGTGGGCTCACTCGGCTCCTTGGTGGGCACCTGCCGTGGGTGGGAGAGTGGTGATGCGCCTGGGTGTTGGGGGGTAGAGGCGGGCTGTGTCAGCCAGGGAGGTTCCTCACCAGAGGTGTTCCTCTGGCCCCGACTGCTTCAGGCAGCTCCAGGCACCAAGTCTGCCTGCTGCATAAACCAGCTACTGTAAATTAAACTTATTTGGGAAAGAAGGAAACTGACACCCTGTAGTTCCTCATTGTGGTTTAATCCTAGCTGCTTGCTCACTCCTTCCCCCTCCCAGGGGGATGGGGAGGAGAATCAGGGGAAAAAAGTAAAATTCATGGGTTGAGATAAGAACAGTTTAATAATGGAAATATAATAATAATAGTGATGATGATGATGATGAAAAGGGAGAGAACAAAAAGAGAGAGAAATAAAACCCAGGAGAGGCAAGTGATGCCCAGTACGATTGCTCACCACCCACTGACTGATGCACAGCCAGTCCCTGAGCAGCGATCGCACGCCTCCCCCCCCCCCGGCCAACACCCCCAGTCTATGTACTGAGCATCATGTCCTGTGGTACGGAGTATCCCTTTGGCTAGTTCGGGTCAGCTGTCCTGGCTGTGCTTCCTCCCGGCTTTTTGTGCACCCCCTTGCTGCCAGAGCATGGGAAACTGAAAAGTCCTTCACTTAGGATAAGCACTACTTAGCAACAACTAAAACATCAGTGCATTATCAACTTTATTCTCCTGCTAAATCCAAAACACAGTACTGTACCAGCCACTAGATGAAAATTAACTCTATCCCAGCCAAAACTAGGACATTTCTCTACGAACTAGCAAACTAATCTGTATGTGGAACTTGCACTAAACATAATACATGTCCGGCAATGCTGCTGTTTCTCCTTTAAAGGATTTTTGGCTAAGCAGCTGTTTGGGGTGGAGTTATTGCAAGAGAGGGTTTCAGTTTCGTTTTTTTTTCCTCTCTCCTCTTAGAAGAAACGATATCCCGCAGAACAAAAAGAAAAATAATGACAGAAGAGACCACATTCTGCAAAAATTGGTAAGAGATCTTTCTCCCTCTCCACCCCTACAAAGTGTCAGGATTTTCTAGGATTTTCCTTAATGTTATCTAGGTCTCCTGTAACAGGGGCAGAAGAGGAAGAACTACACGACAGGAGGGGTGTACGCTAGCCATTGAGTAGTAAATGGAAATATTTTGTACTATTTTCCTATTTCCAGGTTGCTGCTTTCTTGCTACTTTGCTGTGGAGAGGTTTCTTCCACTGCCCTCTCCCATGCTGCATGTTCTCTTTTTACATAATACCACTGTGGGTAATTTTGCAGTATCTGGCAGAGGGGTCAGTGCATGGACCACACCAAATCCAGCAGCTGCCTCAGTTTTCCCCCATGGCTGATGTTTCTTTCTGTTGCTATATTTGCAGTTAAGTGATAAAATATTAATTTTTCAGGGTAATTGGCCATCTTTCATAGAATAGAAGGCTGAAAGTGGCCATGAGGATGGCGTAGCTTGGTGTGTCTCAACTAGTAACTAGGCCACTGGGAAAATTATAGGAACAAAGACTATGAAGTACTGCAATTGAAAAAAAAAAAAAAAAGAAGAGTGAAACTTAGAAAGGTTAAACATGAGCACAGCCTTAATTTTACTTGGTCACAAAGGAAAACTGATGCTTAGTCTTGCACAAAGAAAGCCTGTGCATTATATTCCAAAAGGTTGTAGAGGATGCTTCGAATGAAGCAGTTGCTGCACACTGATCAGACTCCTTGGCAGACCTACTTTGCCTAAAACTTCTGGTAGATGCCTCTAACTAATTCTTAATAACTCTGGTTACAGAGATGACACATTCCCACAGGAAATCCATTCTATTGCTTATCCATCATGATCATGACAAGCTTCTCCTCATGTCTAAAGCAGATTTCCTTCAGGCAACTTACCTTCTCTAAGAAAATTAGAAGAGTTCACTGCCCTAAGGCTTTTTTGCTGTGGCTGCTCTGTCTTGGGGCTGGGCTGTTCATGATTTACGTGGCCTCATCCTGGCCATTCCCTCCACGTTGAGTGACCAGCAAATATGTTGGGCAGACTGATTCTGTGGCCCAGACATGATGTCAGAGTTTGGAACAAAGACTAGTGCGGAAAGCCCAAATGGCGTCAGGTTTTCTGCCTCACACACGTCCTTGAAGTATCAAAGCTGGAAATGTGTGTGTCCTTTCAGGCAATCTTTGTACTCTTGTGGGCCAGAAAGGTTGCATGGCTTACCTCCAGCTGCCATGTCCTAAGGACCGTCACTCCCTTGTGTCAGGCATCAGTACCTCCTGCCGCAGGGTCCTGGGCCCACCGCAGTAAAGGCTTTGAAATGACAGGGGTACCCCTCACCTCCTGTTGCCTGGCACGCTAATGTCTCTGAACCTGAAGTGAGGGCAGTGAGGCAGACATCCTAAGATGGGTCCCATGGGATCAGGGTCCCAGGCCCTGCTGGCAGAGGATGTCAGAAAATCAGCTGTTGTGCACCTTGGTCATCCCGAAGCTGTTTCAAGGGGAGCAGTGGAAGTTTTACACTGCTCAAGGTTTGCAGCTAGAAGCTTCTTCAGGAGGTCTTATCCGAGCCCTGTTGACTTGTATCTCAATTCTTGTCACTGATGTTGTGAACACACCAGTTATTAAAATAAAATAAGTGATTTCCCAGGTAAGCTTAAGTGGCTCTTCCTGAACCCACTGAGTGTGGTGACATCTGTCTGTCTCAGCTCAGAGGCAGCCTTCATCTGAGCAGAGCAGCTGCTTGGCTGGGCTGGGCTACCTCAAATTGGTCTGCTGGGAGCCAAAGAGCTGTAAATTTTGTGATGCCTTAGATGACACTCAGAACAGGGGCCCTTCTTTTCTTCCCACATCTGTAAGCAATGTAAACAACAGCTGCAGCTTTTCCCGAAACAATTGGACAATTGGACAAATAAACCAGGAGCCTCCAGCAACTGCGCGGTCCCTTTCAGAAGTATTCCTGGTAATATGGCAGAACAGAATGAGTAACAATCCAGTCTCTAAATGTCTCATTAAGATGAATCAGAAAAACAAATACTTATTTCTAGTTTTTAGGTTTGAACTAGTTGAATTGTAACCAGTTGTACTGACTCTGGCTGGGATGGAGTTAATTTTCTTCATAGCAGCCCCTAGGGTGCTGTGTTTGTATTTGTGGCCAAACCAGTATTGATAACACACCAGTGTTTTGGCTTTTGCTGACCAGTGCTTGCATAGTGTGCATAGTGTGCAAGTTTTCTCCTTTTCCCCACTCTGCCCACCCACTGGGGGTGAGGGAGAGCTTGGGAGGGGACACAGCCAGGACAGCTGACCTAAACTGTCCTAAACTGTCCAAAGAGATATTCTGTACTGTATGACTTCATGGTCAGGAATAAAAACTGCATTAGAGGAAGAAGAATAGGGTTGAGTTTGTTGGAGTTTTTTTTGCTTCCAGGGTGGCTATTGTTCAAAGGCTGGTTGGGCATAAGCAGCATCATGTGGGAGGTGGTGAGTGATGTCATTTACTTCACTTGTTTTTTCCTCCGCCTCTTTCCTTCAAGTATTAAACTGTCTTTATCTCAACCTACGAATTTTCTCACTTCTGTTCTTACTATTTCCCCCCATGCTGTCCCACTGTGCGTGTGGTGGGGTGGTGGTGAGTGAGCAGCTGTGTGGATGTGTGGCTGCTGGCCAGGGTCAACCCACCACACCAGTTCATTTACTCTTCTCTCTTTCCCATTCATGCACTCGGTAGTAAACGAGATGTGTCTGCTGCCAATTTCCCCCTCCATGAGGCCCACTGCTTGCGGTTTCTCACTCTCTGCCCAGAATGTGATGAACCAGTTGCCCAAAAGGATATGCAAGACCATCAAACAGAAGCACACAAGCAGGTGAGGAATGCTCCACGTTCTTCAGGGCTTTCTTGCAAACAGCAAAAAGCTCTGCCAACCCTAAAGTAGTATATTCATGGTACTGTACTCTATATTAACTAGATTTGAATTTCTGTAATTGTTTGGCCAGAAAATCTGTAAGGATCTGATATAATCCTTCAGGCCTGGTTACAGCAGCTTTTGATTTTATGCACAGTCAGCTTAAGAGAATAAAGCTTCCACTGTGGTATCTCAGTTTCCTCAGCAATACAAATTACAGGTTGGGTATGGATACATGCTCCTAGTGCTTGTGAATTATCCAGGGCATGCAAGTTACATGATTTGATTAGAGAAAGACAGACAGTACCTGACCTGACATAAACCTTGGTTGTGCAAAGCTATGACATCAATGCACCCAACCCAAGCTATTCTGTGATTCACTTTTTTAGCAAAAATGAACTGGCAGAGTAAATTGATCAGCTCTTCATATAGCAAGGCAATAGCATTTTTAGTATAGCATTAAGAACCCTGTAGCTAGAGGTACTATGTCGGAGCATGGATACACAGACAAGGCTTTTTATTCTGTCTTACTAGTGTTATTGTCTTAGCAATTCCATTTATTTCAGTTACTTAACAGAACACATGAGCAGCTCTTGTGGCAAACCTATAGAGAACTAGCATACTTCCTATGTTTTCAGAGGGGCTATTATAATTTAGACTAGCTGAATCTCAGACTTACACTTTTAAGTTAAACCTCAGTCAAAATTTTGAATAAACACTCTATTTCACATCAGACTTTGCATTTCACATTGGCACCTTTGAGAACTGGATCCTTGCACAGGATGACAGCTTGCTGCAGAACCATCAGACATCTGTTTTCCTCAAAATCTCATCAACACAGCTCAGGCCTGACAGAGAAACAAAAATTCACCAACAGCTTGTTGATGATTGGGATGAAAACGACAGGAAGATTATCTCAGCAGCTTGAAGTTGTATTGATATATGAAAGCACTAACCACCCTCCTATGCTCCCGATTAACTGCTGTATGTTTTGCTTGCAGGTCAGATGTAATCTTTGTCACCAAAGCATGCAGCAATACCAGTTGGAGCATCATGGGGTAAGTATGGAGTGCAGCTTCTAGGCTGACCCCTTTGAGCAGCCACCAAGAGCCATGCTAATGAGTTCAACAGCAAAAACATGTAAATCCCTGACTCCTGTCCTGGAACATGAAGAAACTTAAACCTCTCAACAGTTGCAGTGTTTTGGCATACTGTTTCCCCCTTATAAATAAGTATATCCTATGGTGGTTGCCCATCCAGTTTTGAGGAGACAGTCTGTTCCAAGAGGTAATCTTACTTTCTCATCCTTGGCACCTCAAGATGATGTTCTTTGAGGGCTTCTCAAAGACATTTCCGTCCTGCCCCCACACTCATATTACCTGCTTTTCCAAAGGAGTGGTTATACAAAGCAAGAATCAAGGAAGCAGCTAAGGGGGAGATACACAAAAGAACTGGCAGGGGCTGGGAAGTGAGAGCAGCCTGTCCATGCCAGGTATAGTCTAACCATTTCAAGGGACCAAAGCAGTGAAGGCACAGCAGGCTTCCCTTGGTGGTGGTAGCTGAAGTATTGGAATTTTTAGGTGGACTTGTGCTCTGTTGCTAACCTGTACTGACACAGAACATCTTCACTGCTATTGATTCTCATTTTGCCTTATATTGCCTAAATCATCCTAAATTAAAGGTAGCCTAGATAGGTGAACTCCTAGTACAGCTAAGTCTGCATTTGGTTGCTTAGATACCCCTTAAGGAGGGCATTCTTAAACGGTCACTCATTGCTCTCACTCTCTTTTAGTATTGAAAAAAAAATTGCAATAATTTCCTCTATTCATGTGCAGACCAAGGAATGCCACAAACGAGCAATGAAGTGCAATATCTGTGAGCTTGAAATGCCCTTCAACAAGCTGGAGGAACACCTGAACGCCTGTGCCAGCCGAACAGAGTGGTGTTGGGAGTGTAACAAATACATCATGTACAAAGACCAGAACAAACATAAAGCTATTTGTCAGAACAATGGTCTGTCCTATCATAAGGATGTGAACTTTCAAAGCAGTGAAGCATCCACTAGTGCAACGTTTATTGGCCCCACTGGTAAGCGAAATTCCTCATTGTCATGGACGAGGTCAACTCTGTTAAATCTCAATGAAAATTATCCTGCCTTCTCTACAATTCTCAGTAATCCAGGCTGGAGGGGATTGTTGTTTAACGAAACACAGTGGAAGGGCCAAGTGTTGCTTTCTATTATGCTGGTTATTGTAAAGCCAGAGTGGTTCCACCGACTGGTGGCTCATTGGCCATGTTCTTTTATGTCCTTGTATTCTGGAAGTGAAATTCCTTCTCTCAGAAAGTCAGTGGGACTTCTTCCTCTTTCTGTTTGTTGCACAGGAGAAAATATGATGTAGAATTTCCTCCTACTTCATATATAAAGCCAGTGATGCATACCTGGATTTCTTGAAGTTGAGAACAGCTTTATTAGGCTTAAGGTATTGGACAGAGCATGCCAAGACAAAAAATTAATGAATCCTGTCAATGATTCTTTTCAGCAGAAAAGAACAGGTATCAGTAGGTGCAGTGGCTGGCAAAATAAACTATAAAGAGCAAAAAACCCTAGCAACAGAATTAGTTATGCCAGAGTAGGAGCAAAACATCTTGAGCCACAACACATGGGGCTGGAGTGGAATTTCAAATATCCTTAAGTTTGTGAGAAGACATGGTGGACTGGTTTTGAGTGGTGCCAAAAGCAAAACGTAGTCACACCTCTAATTCCTTCTTGGGCAGTGGAATCAGTATTCTGTGTTTCTGTAGAACCAGTGACCATAAGCGGATCTGAGCAGCCTGTCTAGATGACCAGTGGCAGTTTCTCTCATTTTTTTTTTCCTTTTGAAGGTACTGGTGGCAATCTTTGTCAGAAGTGCCATAAGTCATTCCCAGATGACCAGTATGCCCAACATCTGGTAAGCACATTTGAAACTGAACAAAAGAATGGTTTGTGGCTTAACTTCCAGCCGGGTTATTTCTCTGAAAAGCTGTATATTTGGTAAGAAAGGGCAGTGTGTCTTGGCTGTTCAGACTGTAGTTTCATGATACAATGTATGCAGCTGAAGCATCACCGAGAGGTGGTGTCCACTGTCCCTCCCCGTGACTCATGTCTGTCGCAAATCACAATGCTCATCTTCACCTCATTATGCATGTTCTCTTTTAACAGAATAAATGCAGTGAAGCCAATAATCTGACAAAAGTTCTTGCTGGCCAGTCAACTTCAAAACTCAGCAGTGATCCACCACAGTCTTCTTCCTCCCTGTCTCCCTCTTCCTCCTCCAAGAATGCAATGGCATGGAAGGATGTCCGTCCCAAAATAAAAGAAAGGGACCAGCCACTGGCCTCCAAAACATTGCTTAAGCTCTCAAAGAACAAAAAGCTTGTCTTTCCCTCTCCCACAAGAGGTGGACTTTCCACATCACCTCAAGCTCTTACAGACATCCAGTCTTTTGACACACTGGTGACCTGTGCCCATTGCAACATTCTTCTGCCATTTCCAACCCTTCAGAAACACGAGGTGAGAAGAGATGCATTAGACTCGGGCTCCTACATGCAAAGGGCCATGCCTCCAGAGTCACTACTTATCTTCACACTGTCTGGGGTCCCAGTGCTCATTTCTGGATTGCATAGCTTCTTGACATGTTGGCTGTAGGTACACTGTCCCTGTAAAATGTGGAATTTGTTCATTCCATTGACTATGCTCACATCTACACAAACAAGATCCATTGCCTATAGTCTTGCTTGAAATTTAGGAAAATAATAACTGTGACTCAAGTCATTAATTTTAAGCTGAAATCCTGGAAAGTCTTCAGCAACTGTCCTTATTTGCTGAAGGCTGATACTGTTCCTGCTAAGCAAATAGTATGATTATATCTCAGCTGCATCAGACATGGAGCTCTAGGTACATTCCTTTCTAACAAAGGGGCCCAGTTCCCTCGCTACTGAATATGATTGCATGTTGAATATAATGCTAAATTCTCCTCTGATACAACTGTTACTTATTTTTCTAGATCAAATGTCTACATTTGACATCTTTCAAAATGCTAGGATGAAACAAAAATCAAGCCATGGAGAAAAAGGTACTGCAGAATTTCAGAAATTTAGAGTAGAATTCGTCATTTGATGACACAAAACTGGGAGGAGTGGCTGACACCCCAGCAGGCTGTGCTGCCGTTCAGAGAGACCTGGATGGGCTGGAGAGCTGGGCGGGGAGAAATTTAATGAAATACACAAGGGCAAGTGTAGAGTCTTGCATCTGGGAAACAACAACCCCATGTACCAGTACAGGCTGGGGACTGACCTGCTGGAGAGTAGCGTAAGGGAAAGGGACCTGGGGGTCCTGGTGGGCAGCAGGATGACCGGAGCCAGCAAAGTGCCCTCGTGGCCAAGAAGGCCGATGACATCCTGGGGTGTATTGGAAGGGCTGTGGTCAGTAGGTCGAGAGAGGTTCTCCTCCCGCTCTCCTCTGCCCTGGTGAGACCCCTTCTGGAATAGTGTGTCCAGTTCTGGGCCCCTCAGTTCAAGAAGGACTGGGAACTGCTGGGAAGAGCCCAGTGCAGAGCCACAAAGATGATTAAGGGGGTGGAATATCTCCCTTATG